CCAGCATGGCAGCGTAGGAGTTGTCAGCCCCTGGCTTCCAGGCCTCACCAATGAATGATAAACCCCCTTCTTCTTTAACCCAAGTTAGCTCAGAAGCAGAGTCCCCGCAGCTCCACGGTCACTGAGCACGACACCAGTGCAGAGGAGGTGGGGGCCGCCCCGGGTCTCCAGCTCTCATACCTGTGGCTCAAAGCCACCCAGTGCCGGGGCGGACCCCGGATTCACGCAGAGAGAATCGTGCAACTGCCCGGACACCTGCGTCCCCGCACTCACCTCGCGGAGCGGGATGATGAGGCTGCACAGGTCCTCCGCCTTGCTGGTAAAGCAGATGTAGTTTGTGGAGACGAACATCTGTCCCAAAATGTGCATTTTGTTAAAAGGGGTCCAGAGGGTGCAGTCTGTGTGGCCGTCCAGCTTCTCGTCCTTGGGCAGCCGGAAGAGAGCGCGGTACCGCTCACTCTTTGCCCGGGCATCAAGGTCCCTGCAAGGCAGCGACAACCCTGTCAAGCCAGAGCCGTCGCTGGGGCCTGGAGGGACGTGCCCCACCCTCCTGCTTCCTTCGCTCTCCAGGCCAGCCCTCGTGTCCTGACCCAGAAGCGTGTGCGCACCCCGGGAGCTGCTCGGAATAAGTTAAATCTCACTTGCCACTGGCTTCCCTAGGTCTGCAGTCGGGTGGGCCCATGCCTGGGCCACCTACCGCCCAGGTCGCCTACCGCCCGGGCCGCCTACCGCCCGGGCCACCTACCGCCCGGGCCACCTACCGCCCGGGCCACCTACCGCCCGGTTCACCTACCGCCTGGGCCACCTACCGCCCGGGCCGCCTACCGCCCGGTTCACCTACCGCCTGGGCCACCTACCGCCCAGGTCACCTACCGCCCGGGTCACCTACCGCCCGGGCCACCTACCGTTTCAGAGCAGACACCTTCTTGGGTGATTTCCGCTTCAGCTTGGGCAGCGAGCGGTCCTGCTCGAAGCCCTCGTTGTCCAGTAGCTGTCTCATGGCTATGTTGGCCAGCTGCTCCATCAGCTTGAAGGTCTCGTTGATGTTGAGAAACACGGAGAAGAAATGTTCGCTGGACCTTGTGCTCACTTTGATCACGTCGGGCAGAAGCAGCGTGGCGTTCTTCTCCAGCTGCGTGATGTCCACCCACCGGATCACCAGCTTGGCTGGCAGAGAACAAGGCTGGGTGAAGGCCTGCCCAGAAATCCCGTCCCGAGGCTGCCCCTCACCACCCCACGGCAGCCTCGGGGGCTCACTGTTCTGCAGACCTGTTTTTACTGTTTTGTGTGCTAGTTCTAAGATTCAAATTCAGTCTGCTGAACCCGCAGTTCACAGTTATTAAGGATGTAAGTCCATGCAAAGGAAGCTAAAGATTCCTTTGGTGAATTTTTATTAACTGACTGAGGTTTTTTAGACAAATATTAAACTGAACATTTCTGAATTCACTTAGTCTAATAGTTAAAACACAGCACTGGACAAGTTAAAACACAGGGGGCCTCCCTGGTGGTGCAGGGGTTGAAGTGTCAGCACTGTGAAGCTGTTGCCAGGCACTACAGCCTGAATTCAATCCCTGGCCAGGGAGTGACCCCATGGCACAGCAGACCTCTCCTG